AGTGGAGTGATGTGGGACACACTAGAGGGGGCAAGACGAGGAGGGGGAGGAGGAGGGGCGGCGACGACCGGGGAAGGGGTGACCAGGAACAGGGGGGGGTAACCGGGGAACCTCGGTGGGGGAAGCGGCGGAAGAAGGAGACGGACTCGTCAAAGGTGACGTCACGGGAGTGAAAGAACCGATGAGACGGCGGGTGGTAGAAGTGCCAGTCAGACGCGTCAAGGGGGAAGCCGAGGAAGACATAGGGAAGGGTGCGGGCAGTGAGCTTGTCCATGCCAGAGGCACGAACGTGAGCAAGGCAGCCCCAGACGTGGAACGTAGTCGCGTCACCAGGTGACCCAGACCAGAGGAGGGTCGGCGAAACCTGAGGCTGCTTGGGGTGCGGCCACAGGTTAAGCTGGTGAGCGGCATAGCGAACGGCGAACGGCCACGAAAAATGGGGTGCCCCGGCATGGATCATGGAGGTGCGAGCCACCTCCATGACCAAACCGATGCGTCGCTTAGCGACCCCATTCTGCTGCGGGGAGTCCGGCAGGGTGAACGTCTGGGTGATGCCCTCCGCACGACAGAAACGACTAAGGACACCACAGGCAAAATCGCCACCATGGCCGGAGTGGAGACGCAAGACAGGGAGACTGCGGTAGACATGCGCAGACAGAAGCCACGGGATAAGAACGGCAGGCAAGTCGGCTTTCCGCTCCAGGGGAAACAAAGTGGTGTAGCACGTGTAGTTGTTGACAAGCACTAGGAAGTAGCGCTCTCGACGCGGCCCATGGACGGGGGCGGGGCCCCAGACGTCCATGCGCAGAGTCTGTAGCGGTGCTGCAGTAGGGGGAAACAAGGAGGAGTGAGGGGCACGGCGGAGCCGGCCCTCGACACATGGCGTGCAAGGTGGGGCTGATGAGGAGGGAAACTCGGGTAACGACCCGGGGAGGCCTAGGAGGAGACCGTGCTGTAACGTGTGACGCAGATGCGAGAGCGCAGGATGACCTAGGCGGTGGTGCCAGAGAAGAGTCGGGTGAGTTAGAGACCGACAGGAGCAGGCAGCAGCAACCGGGGGAGACGCAGTCACCTGAGGGGGGGTCCCAACCGGGGGGGTTGCGCTGTTCAGTGTGAAAAGACCGGACGGTGGGTCCCGTGGGAACGTGGACAGGGGGGCACCAATGGCGGCCTCGGTAAAGACATTGTACTGCTCGTGTCCAAGGAACGTAGTGGTGACGCCAAGGTCCTGAAGGCAGCCGACACCAAATAGGTTCCTGGAGAACGAGGGGATGTGCAGTCCTGTGAGCAAGCCAAAAGGAATCGCGGGGCAGGGGAGGGTGGTGGAACTGCGGGCGACAACTGGGCCGGAGGAGGGGTCAGCAAGAGAGACTGCGGCAGGGACAGGAAGCGGTGTCAACGTGGTGGAGTCGCGGAAGAAGCACCGGGAAGCGCCAGAGTCGAGGGTGATGGAGAGCGCGGCAGTGGCGGCCGGAGGCGAAGCAGCGATAGAAGCACCAAGGCTAAACAAAGCAGGGGATCCTACGCTTGACGCAACAGGGGAGTCTAAGCAAGGTACACCTACACTAGGCAACAAGGGGTAGTAAGAAGCAGTCACACTAGAGTGATCAGCATACATCACATGTAGAGCAGTAACAATCTCATCCATATCCAGATCAAAAATCTGAACCCTACGACGAAGCAAACTGTGCCAGTCTGGGAGCTCGGGCGACGGTCCGAAACGCTGACGAAACAGGTCGTCCAGGCGACAGAAACAGCGGACGGAGGTGTGACCGATCTTACCGCAAACGAAGCCACGGCGATGACCGGTCTGGAGCAGGTACTGACAACGCGCGTCACCCGAACCACCACCTGGCAGCCCACCACGCGCACTGCCACCACATCTAGCGCTACCACCAGCGCCAGGCCACCCGGGCGGGAGACCACTCGCCCGTCTCTGCTGCGGCTGCTGCGATTGCTGCGACTGCTGCAGCTGATGCGAGTCCGGCTGCAACGCCGGCGGCTGCTGAGACGGCTGCTCGGCTGCACCTGGCAGGGTCCCCTCGTCCGCACCACCACCAGGAGACCCAGCTCCAGCACCACCTACACCTGCACCCCCACCCTTGCCGCCACGCCCAGCCTTGGGGTGGCGACCCTTCCCCGGATGGACCTGTGCTGCAGCGGCAGTCTCAGCCACAGCAGCAGAACCGTCGGAGTAGGTGCACTGAGCGGGGGCGCAACCCTGAAAGATAGGGACTGGCACAGTACCGCTGGTCTGAGCGATAGAGCGGTGGCGGGCCTCTATAGCGGACAGGGTGTCAACAAAGTCAGTGAGGGTGAGGTCTGCGGGGTGGACGTTAAGGAAGTGGTCACGGGCAGAGGCAAGACGGTCACGAAGGCGGGTGGCTAGCAGGTAGAGAGTAGAGGTGAGGGGCGGCTGGTGGGCTAGAAGCTGTGTAGGAGTGCAGGCAGCACGCTAGGTCTCGTCTATAGTGCGCAGGTGAGCGGCCAGGTTGGTGACAGTGGGGAAAGACCCAAGGTCAGGGAAGAGCATGGGGAGGAACAGACGATCGATCGAGGCAGCAGGCAGGGTGGAATAGCGCTGGACAACAGCATCTAGGAAAGCCTGGGCAGTGGTGATAGACCTGAAGCGAGGTCGCTCGGACAGGGGGAGGGCATTGCTAATAGCCAGCTGTGCGACAGCGTCACGGGACAGCCAGACAGAGCGAGCAAGGGCAGCGGCCACAGTGGACTCACGCTCAGCGGACGAGGGATCAGGAGACAGTGCAGCGGCGCGGTCACGGCAGGGGAGAGTACCGTCAAGATGGACATACAGAGCGTGGCCATCCTGCCACTGACCAGTGAGGTGGCGACGGAGGTCAGCAAGCCACGCATCAAACTCAATCGGCTGGCCCTCAGCGTCAAAGCAAAGCACCTCCGCCATCAGTGACAATTGAGGGCAGTGGAGAGTAGTACAATGCAGTGCAGTGCGGCGTAGTGCGGTATAGTGCGGTGCTGTGCGGTGCGGCGCGGTGCAGTGCGGTGCAATGCAGTACAGTGAGGTGCAGTGCGGTGCAAGGCGGTTTAGTACGGTACCGGAGGTTCGCAGGGCGGTGCTGATCGGGAAGAACGAGCCGACCCCGAGGCGGCGGCGGGCTGGCGACGACGCGAATGCCGGGGTGGGCCGACGGGCGACGGACGCGAGGGGCTAGCAAACGGCGGCAGCGGGGGGGGGGGGGGCGGCTAGGAGCTGGCGCGACGAAGAGTAGAGCCAGCCGCAACAGCGGCCAGGGACAGCCGCGATGGCGGCTAGGGGCGGCCACGACGGCGGGAGCGACCGTGGGGCGGCTGGAGACGGCAGCGATGGCGACTAGGGGCGGCCGCGGCGGCGAGGGGCGGCCGTGAGCCGGTTGGAAACGGCCGCGACGGCAGCTAGGGGCGGCCACGATGGCAGCTAGGGGCGGCCGCGACGGCAGCTAGGGGCGGCCGCGACGGCGAGGGGCGGCCGTGAGCCGCCTAAAAGCGGCCGCGACGGCAGCTAGGGGCGGCCTTGACGGCCAGGGGGCCGGCTAGGGAAGGGCGCGACGGCCAGGGGGCCGGCTAGGGACGGGCGCGACGGCCAGGGGGTTGGTAAGGTCATTCGTGAACGGCCAGGGAGCCGGCTAGGGGCGGGCGCGACGGCCAGGGGGGCCGGCTAGGGACGGGCGCGAACGGCCAGGGGGCCAGCAAGGGACGGGCGCGACGTCCAGGGGGCCGGCTAGGGACGGCCGCGACGGCCAGGGGGCCGGCTAGGGATAGGCGCGACGGCCAGGGGGCCGGCTAGGGACGGGCGCGACAGCCAGGGGGCCGGCTAGGGACGGGCGCGACGGCCAGTGGTTTGCTAGGGTCGGTTGCGAACGGCCAGGGGGTCGGCTAGGGGCGGGCGCGACGGTCAGGGGGCCGACTAGGGACGGGCGCGACGGCCAGGGGGCCGGCTAGGAGAGGGGCAAGACGACGGCTAGGGCCTAGGGGCGAAAGCGTGGGCGGGCTAGGGGAGGACCTAACCTACTATGATACCATATCAGAATGAATAAGTAAACTAGAATTTGTGAGTACAAGGGTATATAGGCTGGGGTGTTGTATCCTCTAAGGCACAATCCAGTATAGTCTACAGTAACGACCTAAGTTACATTTGACACCCTTTTCCCAGTTCGATTCCCCCCCTCCCCTCCGTTTCGATCTTCCCCTCCCCCTTTGTTTCGCTTCCCCCCCCCTCCCCTCCGTTTCGATAAATGGCACCCTGATCGCGTTCTCTGAACCCTGAGAAATTCAGGGTATACATTTTTTTAGAACAGACCGCTCGGGGTAAATTTATTTTTAAGTCGATAGCTCAGGGGGAGTTTTTTTGAAATGTCAGCCCTGGTTGCGAGGGGTACGGGAGGATTGAATCTGTTAGTGGGGGACTTAGCCGAATCGTCTGGGTTGCGAGAGTACCGTACTACAGGAGCTCTGTATCTGCTAGTAAGGGACTTCACCAATTTTTCAGGGTTGCTCGAGGGCTGAGGGAGGGATGTCTTTGGCAATGGGGGACTTAGCCGAAAACTTGGGTTGTGAGGGGTATAGGAGGAATAACTCTCGGATAGGGGGGACTTAGCCGAAATTTATAGGTTGGCCAGGGGAGAAATGATTATAGCGGGGGATCACATGTGTGATTGTGTAAGGGTGGACTTACACAACACTTTTCCGCATCAGGGTCCCTACACTCGACCACTCTGAAAAAATAGCGTCCCCTACAGATCTAGTTTATTTCATAAGGGTCAAAAACTAAACCAATTTTAAAAATAAGGGTCCAACACCTACCCCAGCCTTATTATAAGGGCCGTAAGGGTATTTTACCCTGATATCCTGAGGCCTGGTGCACATGTTTTGGATGTCGGAATGTCGGATAGTGCATGTCGGAATGTCTTGATGTCCGGCAATCAAGTTTGATTTTGAAAATCAGGGACCAAGATAAAAGAACTGACTAGCTATGAAGAGACTTTTAGAAAACCCCTCATTTATTCCTTGTGTTCTGAAGTGACTTGAACAAGGCGTGATCCAGAAACATCTGACAGCCTGAGCATGCTGTCTGCTACTATTCTAAAAGAAACATGGATGCAGCAACAGAGAAACAAGCAGATTGGGCAGCATGACGCTCTCGGATCTAGCCGAGGAACGAATGGCTTGTAGAGTAGCGAGATCTCTTGCGAGAAAAGGGGGAGGGAGCAGAAGGTGGGGTGATGTGGAGAGGTAGTACCAGGACACGAGGCAAACTGGGTAGAGAGTGGCGAGATTCCGTGGACTATGAGTGGGAACAGCGAGAGAGACTATGGGTGAGAACATTGAGAGACTAAGTCGGAAGCAGCGAGAGAGGCCAAGGCAGGGAGAGAGACTAATGCAGGGAACAAGACAGCGAGAGTCTAAGGGATGGAACAGAGAGAATAGGGCAGGGAACAGTAACAGTGGGAAAGGAGACTTGGCGAAGTAGCACACCCATGGCGGGGTTTGACTTAGTCCTCATTGGAGAAGCTCTCTCCAATCATCCTGAGTTCATCCTCGAAACTTGTAACGCCTTTGAAGGTACTCTTCATCTCGAGGAGCTGAGCGTCCACCTTAACAGCAGCACGCAGCTCGTCTTTCCCCGCCACCTCATCCCTGATGGCCTGCAGCTCGTTGGCAACGTGAGCCATGCTTGGCCGGCTTGCAGTGCGCTCCTCAGTGCAGCTGACTGCCAGGTAAACCACCCGCAGCACAGCATCCCCAGGGGCGTCCATCTTGGGGTCCTTGAGGCCCCCCAAGTGACCCGAGGACACACAATCGGATGCCTGAGGGAGCGGAAGAGGAGGAAGAGGAGGAAGTAGCACAAGAGGGGTGATGAGTTGACGACGATCATTTGAGGCATCGGAGTTGTTCCTTTTCCTTCACTTGCGAAAATACAGTATTTACTCCAATCGGTTTATATGCAGTGTGGACAGACTTGGGCTGGGTCCAGGGGGAAAGCGAAAGTGAAGCAAAAATCACAAGGGGGAAACCTCTAACAAACACCATAAGAAGGGAACGGGGTCAGTGGTGGGAGGTGATGATGGAATGAACAATTGAATTCTCGACCGCCAGATCTCCTGTGGCCTTCAAAGTTCCAAGCCTTTTCTCGCTTCCAGCTTGACAGGGACCGCGCACCTTCAACACCCCAGTGACTCCCGGCACCTAAGCCAGTTTCATACGCGCTGTGTATCAAGCGTGCGGCTTCCGATTTGGGCTGGGGGCAACAAGTTGGCTACGGTACTTGTACTTACCCACGATGTGATTTGCCGGGTCTCTCCACAAGACTCCATGAGTGGAGCCTGTCCGGTGAGGACCACCAGAATGAGCACACCAAAGCTGCAAAAAGCAAGAGATGGCATCAAGACGGCAAGATTCAGAAAACAGAAAGAAATATATGGCTCTATGTTGGTGAGTTGCTTATGATACGCGGTCGCACTCAACTCAAGTACTCACTGCACAAGCCAATGCTAATGTAGCACCTAACAGGTTCCAAGATAATCCTGTATCATCTGTTGATACCTCCAAGATACCTCCCAGAGTCATCAAACTCATGTCATGATATTCATAGGAGTCCCATCTCACCTGTAGACATCGCTGGCGAAAGTTGCCTTAGATGTCTTGGTGTAAACAGGATCCACGTAGCCTGGTGTTCCCATAATTCGAGTAGTGCCCACTGTGGTGCCCTCTCCTGCCCTCACAAGTCCGAAGTCTGCAATCTTGGCCTGGCAAATTGTAGAGTAAAAACATCAATGCAGCAAGAACAAGGGAAAGTGATCAAGAAGCGAAACCTACGACATACTCGGTGAGAAACTGGAAAAGTATGAGGCAAAAACATTTTACAGATAACAAGGGAAAAAAAGGGTACACAAATGGGTCAGACTGTACCCATTTGACTGCTCACTTTATTCATGCGCGTGCATGTGCCTCTCGACCAAGGTTCAGAATTTCGCCGAAATTTTGATTTTTTTCCACGAAAGTTTCGTTTTCGAAACTTTCGTCGAAACTTTCCGTCGAAATCATCGAAATTGGATTTTCCACTCTTGGTGCAAAAATTCGGAAGAAAATTTCAAACCAGCTATGCGACGGATATCCAGTTTGACACCGTAACAAATTCAAGGGAAAAGATGCGGTGTAGAGCGCGGAATTCAGGTCTGGCAGGAGTGCTTGTCTCGGGAAGTCGAGAGCGGAAAGTGTGGCCTGCCAATTACGGCGATAGTGGCTCTGAGTGCTCCGAGGACACGGACGATGATTAGTGACATTCCCTAGCATTCTTTAATGCAAACAATGGTTGTGTGTGGTGTAGTCCAAGAGGAACATTTGGCAGGATTTCTGAAAAAATAAAATCGTTCACATCGCCTTCTAACAAAATCTGACTGAAATTCTCAAAATCTGGCCGAAACTTTCCGTCGAAAGTTTCCACAACCGAAATTTTGATTGAACCTTGCTCCCTACTTAGTTCCAACCGTTTCTTGACAAATATGATGCAATGTTAGAGTGTAACCAAGCTTGCCTGCATGTCAGCAGTGATGAGGATGTTGGCAGGTTTAATGTCGCGATGTACAATGCCGAAGCTGTGGAGGTACTCAAAGCCACGTGCAATGCCTATCAGAATGTCCATCCGCTGCTTGAAGCTCAGCGGGTTGGATGCTTCTGCAAGAAATGAAAAATTCCACGTCAAGCATCAAATAGCGTGAGGGCGACGCATCAGTGACGTACAACAGCAACAATGAGAAAATGATATATCACAACCCACATCAAAATGCATCCAAATCCAAATGCACAATGCATACGGTTTGCAGTAAATTCACACTACTGGCTAAGTAAATCGTACAACGTGTGCTTGAACCTAACTGTTCTTCACTGACAACATAAAAGTCATCAACGTGCATTTCCACCGACTATACACTTGAATCAGGGTAAAAGAGATGGTCTGCTAAATAATTATGAACACAATGACCTGAACCCTTACCGGGATCGATCCACCTGTGGAGGTCACCGTTGGGCACAAACTCGTAGATCAAGATCTGCTCGATTTTTGACCTTATATCCCCTCCCACCGCAAACCCCAGCAGGCGCACAATGTTATGATGGTTCTTGTCGGCCATTTGAAGGATCTGAAAGGGAGAAAGAGAGCACAAACGAATGGATCAAGACGCAGAGAGAATGGACGGAGAGCAAAGCAGACAGAGAAGAAACGAGTGAGACCCATTAAGAAAAAGGATGGCAAGGACAAGAAGAAATACAGGAATGCAACTCACTCACCTCCCTTTGGAAGTCCATGTCGATCAGCTTGGCGCGCTTCACAGCCCACACTGTGGTGCCATCACGGGGAGACACACCCTTGTACACATCACCAAAGGCACCCGAACCAAGCTGATTCTCCGCCGTCCAATTGTCGGTGGCTTGGAGGACTTCAGAAAAAGAAAACTCGGTGCAGTGTGCAGCAGCCAGACTATCACCCAAGTCTGCCCATGGGTTGAGGGGTGCGAAGAGGGACATGTTATTGAACACAATTCCATTGGCGTGGACCAATATATGTGCATGGGTTGCCTGC